GTCAGGTTCAATTATTGTCAATGGTTTAATGGTTTGTCTTGTCATTGGTTCATGGAGTGTCAATTGATTCAAGAGCACAAGTGTCCACAATAGCACATGATTCCCATTGAGGTTGAAGCATGACATGAGTTGTGTTGTGTTGTGTTGTGAAAGACCACTATTTTGCCCCGCACTAATGGATGACCTGCGTGAGCAGCCTGTGGACCTGGCAGCAAACACTCCAGTGTACTATGTGGAGGAGCTATCACCATGGTTGCCAACACCTGTGTGCTATGAGCATGACTCAGAGTTCTGGGTACCTGCATGACAAGTTGCTGCAAGAAGGTGAGATGGGAGAGCCAATGGGGAAGTTTGTGGCTAAGCTCAGAATTCTTCTCCAGGAAGAGCGTGAATTTTTGGGTCAGGCCATCTACATCAAGCCCAGTCCACAGGAGCAGCAAGCAACAAGGCCTGTTGGACTTGACTGATGTCTCAGTTTGCCTTAGTCCAGCAAAGGAAAATGATAATGTTAGTCTAGAACCTCCTAAATGAATTTTTATTTAAGTTCAATGCCCAGCTGGTGACTTCAGGCGAGATGCATTGGATGCTACAGCTTGCACTTCGAAAGCGCTTGTGTACTTTCTTGTTGCAGTGACGGACACCGCACGCTCAGTTTCCCGGTTGGACTTTGGCAAGGCATATCTCAAGAAATTGGCTCTTCTGACTGTGGGCATCTTGAATGCTAGTGGTGGTGGGCATTCATACCTCCGCAATGGACAGCAACTCTCCTTTGATGCAGCAGGAACATGTAACTTGCAGCATGTTTTGTCGACCTTTGCCCATCAAGCGTTTGTTGGATCCTTCAAGCAAATGTGGGACAAGATGAAGGACATGTTGACTCAGTTGTTGTGTGAAACTAAGAATAGATGGTAATGAATGATAATGATAGTTAGTCAATGATTCAACACGCTTCACAGCCTGTAATTTTGCTAAGTCACTCTTTGGCGCAGGAAGAAGGGATGTTTGGTTCGGACTTTGATGCAGCTTCACTTTTGGACCTTACTTTGTTTTTGGCATGTGTGAAGAGATTCAGACGTGAACGGAAGATGCATGTCATGAAGGCAAGGATACACACTCTGTGGAAAGACTTGCGGGACTCAATCATTTCATTGCTGTCTGCAAGTTTGCAAAAGTCAGTTCGAGATCTCATCCAGTCTGTGGGCCCAGACATATCAAACAGGTCAATTCCAAGTCGCAAGAAGAGAAAGAGAGAGTCAGAGTTGGAGTTGGCGCCTGATAGCATTGTGCCTTGGGATGGTGCAAATGATGATGTGCAACCCACAGCCCCTGGCAGGGCAAGAGAGCACAAGTCTGTGAGAGTAGACCCAAATCAAGTTTGGGAATGGTACCAAGACTCTGTGAACATTGCTGGTGTGAGCTTCCCACAGCTGGTGAGAACCAAAGAGCGCTCAAAAGATGGAGGATGCACTTCAGGAGCGTGCAGGCACTGGCTTGCCAAACTGCAATCCATGTATCTCAAGAGAGCTTCCATGGGGCTGCAAGGCGAGAATCATTACAACTTGATTAGTGATGCTGCCCGCCACAGTTGCAGAGAGACGTTGGTGAGTGCAATCTTTTCGAGACACAACAATATTGGTGTCTATTGCACAAGCCAGGTTTTGAAGAGTTCAAAAATGGCACATCCAGGAGAGATTGAATGCTCTTTAACTGTTGAACGCCTTCTGGCCACCCGCAAGCAAGAGCGCATGGCAGCCTATCGATTCCTTCAGGGTCTAAGCCATCAGCTTAGCCTGGTGACAAATGGGGCTGTAGGAATGAGCAGCTTCTTGTGTGACAATCCTGCGCTTGGACATTTGGACAATGTTTTGCACATTGTGAAGGGGCACATGGTTTTTCTTGTTGACAAGGTCACAAAGAGAACAACTGCAACAGTGAACTTGCTGGACCTAGTGAATCACAATATCCTCATTGCAGGTATGGATCAGGGCCCATCCAACATGGCTGCATGTGGGTTCCTTCATCAGCAAGCCATGACTCAGTTCTATTTCGACCCATTTCACAGGTGCAACCGTGATTTGAAACTGGCTGCAAACAGTGTTGCGCCCAAGGCAGTGCGAACTCGTTTGTCTATGGCCCATTTGTGCTCCACCTACCTGTGGACATTGTCGTACAAACCATTCCGCCAAGGAGCATTCTTCCAGGAGAAGACAGAACTCCTTGAGATGTTCTTGAACTCGGAAGGTGAGGATAGTGAACTGCTTGAGAGATTTGCAGACTTGGTAGCTTTAGATATGGGTGTTGAGTCAGTGGACTTGTCATTGCTGGCAGAACTGAAGACCTTCAGGAACAAATCCAGCTGTGTCAAGTCTGGAAGGTGGTTCAGCTGGAGCAATTCGGCCCATGATCACTTTGGTGAGTTTTGGGCGTCACGGATGCTCCTCACAGCATTGTTTCCAGATGAGTGTCCAGACACCCGCACTACCTCTACTACATTTGCAGAGCTCCGCAAGGAGGCTGGTGGTCTCAAACTTGCTTTGAAATGCTGCAGTTGGAATACTTGGTTCTCTGTCCGGGCAATGAAACTTGCCAATGATGTCCTGTGGACTTGGTACAGTAAAACGGTGAAAAAGATCAAGACTCCACATCACGGCTTGGAGAGGTTGGCGCAAATGGCAGATGGCCAATGGATGTCAGATGCCCAATTCACAGGTTTGATCAACTTGTTCAGTGACTGGGGAGACTTTGAAACGGTGCTTCAATATGATAAATGTTCCTTGAGGCATTTGGAGCAAAGCAAGTTGCAGAACTATTTGGATGACCTGTGGTTCTATGTGCTTGGCTGTCTCAACAAGAGGGCGTCTTCTATGTGCATGCACAACTCTCCACCGGAGGTGTATGCTGCAGCTGTTGTGCTTGATGATCCTGTGAGGACTGTTGCTGCTGTGCAGTTGATGAAAAATGATTGGGATATTTTGCGGAGGCTAGAGCACTCAAAGAGTCAGAGCACTTCAGAGATCCTGGATGATGTGAGATACACGGTCTCCAAACCAATGAGGTTGGTTTATCAACTCTACCAAGCTGATCTCACGGAAAAGGGACGGGATATTCTGGCAAGCCTTGTGACCCGCCTACCAGACACCAAGTTTGTTGAAGATATTCATCAGACAATCCGTGGCAAAGCACAGTCTCAACCACATGAGAAGCTCAACCACAGACAGATCCAATCCCTTGTGGAAACCTTTCAGACATTTGAGAGTCGTGGGATATTGCACCCAGCTGCTTTGGACAAGAAAGCAATGCTGTCACGATGGGCATCAACAAAGCCAAGTGATAGCAAGCAACAGTTTCTGGCTGCTTCAGAGAAGTTGCCAAAGGTGTTTGCTGACATCCTTGGTAGCAAAAAATGGCCTTCAATGTCTGAGGAGTGCCTGTCACGTTCAAGCGCATGCTGGGCATGGTTGAGACACTATGTGAGTGAGAAAATGAATGGACAGAACATTAAACTCAAAGATGCATGCCATGATTGAAAGGATGCTTTTCTAGTCAATGTTGCTTGCCTTGGTTGCTTTGTTCTCTGAACCTGTCACTGTATGTGTCTGTTTTTGTTGTATGTTACATTAAAGCCAAGCCTGAAGCTGACCATCTAAGTAAGGATGCCAAGAGGTGTGTTGCATTCCAGCCTGGCATGGCCTTCCGGATTGGTTCAGAGGCTTCTTCCACAAGTTCATATGGCAATGGGCCTGCCTTCCTTGTTGTGGCCAACCTGAAGTGGGGACTTCTGGTTTGGCCCTTGATCCAGTCCGATGATTTCACTTTGTCTTTGAAGAAAAACGGACAGCTTCTGATTCCTGGCTTTGCTTGGGTGCAGTCCTTTCCAAGTTTGTTGGTCATTTGCAAATGGTTTTTACTGTATATACACCGATTGAAATAAGATAAAATATAATGTTCATTGGTCTTTGGAATGTCCCCAGGTGGAAGTTCATCTTGGATCATTCAATCTATGTTGCCACGTCTTTGATGCCAGTTTTGGCAAGTGATGTTGGTCTGGTCTTGTCAGTGCATGGGTGGGAGAAGGTCATCAAGCGCACACTCCGTGAGCATGGGCAAAGGCTGACATTCCGGGAGTTGGCTATCTTGGGTGAGCATGAGCTTGATGTGGACGTTGATTCACTGAACAAGGACCAGCTTCTGCGAGCTTTGGCATCGAAGGTGGGTGATGATGACTTTGTGGAGGAAATCAAGAGACAGATTGAGGAAAAAAAGAAGGTGCCCGATGATGAATGTGATGCAGATGATGAGCTAGCGGAAGCTGTGCTTGAGATGATGGACCAAGACGACCTCCAAGAGTTTGCAGAGCTGAAGCAAAAGGTGACTCAGAAAGCCAAGAACCAGAAGATCAAGCAATGGAAGGATTGGCGTGCTGAGGCAGAAGATGAAACTTGCATTACTTATACAACATCTGGTTTCAGTGTTTGTTTTTGTTTCACCATGTGCTCAATTTCAATCATTGACATGATGAATCAATCCCAGGAAAAGAACAAGCGCAAAGCCAAAGCCAAAGCTAAAGGAAAAGCCAAGATGAAAGCCAGGGCAAAGTTGATCAAGAAGCATGTCAAGCAGAAAGTGAAGAGACGGCTTAGCTTTTCTGCTGAAGCAGTGCCATCTGCATCAGCTGCTGCAGCTTCTTCCAGCAGACCTGAACTTGCTGATGCATCGTCTTTGCCTTCAGCGTCTGCAGAGCCACCTTCAGTTGTTGAACCATCGTTGCCGCCTGCTGAAGAGCCATCTGCAGCACCTTCAGTTGAACCTTGTTTGCCACCTCCAGTGGTTGTGATGCCTTCTTTGCTTTTGCCGTCTTCAGCATCTGAGCTGGAACCTGGCGTTGCTGATGTGGTGCCTGCCAGCCAAGCTCCATCAGAGGCTTCTGACAGGAGGCGTGGTGAGAGGGGGCCCAATGTGCACAAGACGCCTGGATCCTTGTCAGACATCTCTCCACCAGGGTGCTCAATTTCATTGAACTGCAGCCTGACTGAAAGTGTTTCAGTATTTGTTTGAGTTTGTTGCTCAGGGAGCATTGCTAGACTCACTAGAATTCTTCACGTTTTTCGACTGATGTTTTTGGAGCTTGCACAAATTTGTTGATGCTGAGGCAATGACCATCGGTGGACTTGCAAGTGGGCCAGTGCAGTTGCTTGTGGCCAGAAGACCATGTCCAAGTCATTTCGCAAGGATGTGGAAGTTGACTGGGTGGAGGCGTTGAAGGAATGCCATCGCTATGCTTGGACAAAGTGGCAAAAGTACAAGGACAAAGATGGCTCCTAGACACCAGTTTTATTGT